AGCCTTTCCTTAGTAAATATAGTTAAACTGGTGCATGTGTCCAATACTAGATCATATCAGCTCTCTGCTCTGTTCCAGCAACTGTGAGTAAAATTGACTTGTGTGTATTCTATCTTGGAGGTGTGATATAACATGAATATTAGACCTACTTGTGCAGACCTGTAGTTGGCTTTCTATTTGAATACGTTAACAGATCTCTGTTCCTGATGAACAGCTGTAGTGTGCATTGCCTATCCCTTAGTCTTCAGCGAACCTGTTTTGGACACCTGGAACTTGGGTGTTTGCCTCTTTAACAAGCAGTGAGCCTGAGCAATTTGTAGTTTGAAAGGGGGGAGGGAGAGAGAAAGAAAGAGAGCTTGTGTGCATCTTCCCCAGTAAGTAAACAAGTAGTTTAACACTAGAGACCTTTGACTGTCTCCATTATCTTCATCCATTTTGTCCTCCAGTTGTCCACATTTAATTTCTGTAGGATTGATACTACATCATCTAGCCATCTTCCTCTTTGTTATTCAGGTGGCCTTCTGCTCTTCAGCACTCAAAGGAGCACTTTCTTTGGTGTCCAAATCACTTCCATTCTTTCAGCATGGCCCAGCCACTGTAGTCATCATGCTCTTGATTTCCTGTATCAGAGTTAAATCTTTGTACAGTTGATATAATTCATTAGTCCTTACGCACCATTCTTGTGATATGGAGTCATACTGTGCACCACAGATTTTCTGTAGAATCTTCCTCTCTCAACAATCCAGTAGCGTCTTGTTTACATGTGAGAGAAAGTAAGTTTGACTGCCATGGGTTATGCATGGCCTGATTATGGTTTTATAGATTTGGAGCTTAATATTCCTTCAGATGAGCTCAAATGACAGGAGCTTCTGCAATATACACTAGGCTCTATTTCCCCATTGGGTTACTTGCTCAAGATTTATGCTTATGTGAGGTCCCCAATTTACTGATGTTCTGTTTACCAGCAGGTACTGTGTTTTACCCATGTTTACTCGTAGTCTCATTTTTTTATTTTTTGCTTCATTTGATCGTTGGGTATACAAGGCTTCTATGTCATTCATATTTTCACTATGAGAGCTATTTTGTTAGCAAATGCTAGAACAGGGGTGGGCAAAATATGTCCCGCAGGCCAGATCTGGCCTGCCAGTTGATTGTATCTGACCTGCAGCTGCCCCCATGGTGCTCCACATGGGGCTGAGCTGGGCCCAGACTGCTCTTGCCTGCATCTGCCCCACACCCACCAACGGCAACCACCTCAAGCCTGGGCAGCACACAGCTTTCCTGCGGGGCTGCTGCTGCTGCAGCCACCTGGATACCTCTCCACTCCCCCCGCATCTAGCAGCTCCTCCTCTTCCTGCCCCTGCTGCGCTACTGTATATGGCAGGGGAAACTGCAGCCGGTCATCTCTTACCCTAGTGTGTAAGGCACCTTTCACTCACTCTGCACACCTGTTACAATGAGCAGCCACCTGCAGGTGGCCAACTGGGTGGAAGGTGGCATGGAGCCAAATCCCTGTGCGCTGGGGCAGGTGCTGCCCTGCTGCAGGTTCTCCCCAACCTGGAGCGGTGCAGCAGGGGCAGGAGGAGGAGGGGTCACTGAAGGTGTGGGGAGCTGAGCAGTACCTAGGCAGCTGCAGCAGAAGCAGACCCCCTGGGAAAGCTGTGTGCCCTGGCTGGGGTCAGGACCATTGGCGAGTGTGGTACAGGCTGCCCTGAGTGGAAATGGGCAGGGCTCAGCCCCATGCAGAGTGTTATAGGGGCAGCTGTGGGCTGGATGTTGCAGGGGGGGAGACTACACCTGCACCCCACCACCAAGTTTAGCTCTGCTGCATGCACCCCCGACCCGACCTCAAGCCAGCTCCTGGAATCATACTGGGATGCATTAGCCAATGTGTCACAAACAGGGCTAAGGAAGTGATACTTCCTCTCTACTCTGCAACTGGTGAGTCCCCAGCTGGAGTACTGTGTCCAGTTCTGGGTGTGGGTGCTGCACTTCAAAAAAGATGTGGAGAATCTTGAGAGGGTCCAGAGAAAGGCCACAAGAATGATTTAGGACCTAGAGGACAAACCTTATGAGGAAAGATAAAGGGATCCAGGACTGTTCAGCCTGGGGAAGAGAAAACAGGGGGGGCCTGGTGACCATCTGTAAGTGTGTAAGGGGTGAATATTGAGAGCTGGGAGAAAAACTGTTCACTAGGGCACCCCAAGGGAGGACAGAAGCAATGACCATAAACTGTTAGAGGATGATTTCAGGTTGGATGCAAGGAAGAACTTCTTTACCGTAAGAGTGACCAGAATCTGAAATAGACTTCCCAAGGAGGTGGGGCAGTTCCCAGCCTTGGAAGTCTTCAAGAGGAAACTGGACAGGCACCTTGCTGGGCTCATTTGAACTCAGCAGTATTCCAAGTTGCTCTTGGAATTCAGCTGAAGCTCCACTTGGCAGATATTTTCCAAAATACATGAAGTTACACCCATAGCAGTCTTATCTTTTGTTTCCAGACCTCTAACATAATTCATTTTAGGCATTAAACAGGGCAGAGGGTTGTCCAGTTAGTGATAGCTTTGTTGGTTGTTTTGTGCAAAGATTAGAAAAATAATCACTGCGCTTAGCAACTGTTTGCTTCCTATATAGCATAAACAATGCTTCAGGCCCGATTAAAAAAAACTGCAAGCATTTATCCAAAGGAGCTAAGAATTAAAGGATAAAAAAGCTAATTCTAATGGTGTTTTCAAGGAAATCCTGAAAATTTCCAGTCATTTTTCACTATAGAGGTTAGCAATGAAAATTGACTAACCTGATGATTGTGTTAGATGTGTTTAGCTTTCTTGATTTCATTTAGGTAACATAATATGGGATGCCTATTCTGCTTCACGCTATAAAATAGTTAAATTAATAATCTTGAGGTCAGCTTTTGAAAAATCAGATGCTAGCAACAGCTTTATCTTCTAAATTTCATGTCTCTGCAAAGCTCTGCTCTTGCTTACAGCCGCTTGAATTGAATCTATTGTAATGTTGTTTAAGAATGCCAGTAATTGTAGTAGGTGAAAAACCTGAAGTTTTTACTCAGGGAAGTACAGTGATGCAAACAATGTCCCTAGTGTACTTCTTGAAGTCTTTTCTTCTTGCCATTCTTCTTTTCCCTTGGTACATAAGCCTGGTTTTGAGGTTGTTGCTAGGTTGTGTTTATGAAGTGGGAAGGCCTATATGCCTAAATGACATTGGGCATAGTGAAGAAGCTTTGTAAAATCGGAGACTTCTGGCATGCCTTGCAAGTGGCCAGCATCTGCTAAAAATTCATCTTGCAACCGAATCCTTTCATCCTTGAATGCTTTCCTTTTTCTTCAAGTGTATTATGTATTAAATTGTTAAAGACAACTAAGATATTACACAGAGTATGTAAATATGCTTATCTCAGTCTTCACTGCTGTATCTGTTTTCCCTGTTTTTCCCTCATCTATGATTTTTTTGATTGATGTGAAAATCTTCCTCAAGGGTACATTGGTACCCAAAAGCTTGTGTAAGTCCCTCCCAACAGTTGGTTGAATCAGAGATATGACCCACAAATATTCTTGCCATTTTCCTTGGACTGTCACAGCTGCAACATTACCACAACACTACCATAATCTAATTTGGATATTTAATTGTTAACATAGACTTTGTGTTTCTTGCTTGCATGGATATCCTTGGCATAATGTAAAAAATAATACACCTTAATGATGTGTGAAAGTCCCTAACTTTTGGGGGGATTTTTGTGATTTTTTTTTTTTTTTATTGGACCAACTGTATAGTTGAAAGCTGGACAAACTACTTTTCCAGGAACAAAGCACCTTTCCTCATATTCAAGGGAGAAGAAGATGTAGGCAAAGCTAAACTAGGGAGGAGGGGAAGCAATTGTTTGTGCTTAAGTCCACATAAATGAAACCAATTGCTTAAGTAACAGAGAACTATTAAGTAAGAGCAAAGAGAGGTGATCAGAAGTAGCTTCAAAATAAGGGAAATGCAGTAAATTGATAACCAAGTTAGGTAGCAAAACAACGCCGTTCAAAAATGGTAAATAGTCATTTATTACTTATGGAATGCAGAAAAGTTAGTAGAGATAACAGCTAAATTGTAATGAGTTACAAAGCCATTGCCTGTCTTTTCAAAAAAACCATGAACATCTCATCATACTTCATTTAGGCAGATGTTGATTTAACTGTACCAAAGCGTGGTATATTCTTGTATCTAATTCAGTAGCATATTATACTTTACTTTTGGTAGTTCCCACGGTATGATCAATAGGGTCTGCTCCTAGGAAACCACAACCCCATCTCAAAGATCATATAATCTAAAATATGTACTTTTAAATTATGATGTCATTAACCTTATAAAGCACACATTGCTAACTGCATTTTCAGACCTTTATCTGAAAGGCAAGAACTAAAGTATTTATAGCAAGAAATGGCAAAAAGAGAAGCATGTAACAGAAGAAAGATTAATCAATATTTTGGTTTGGAAATACAGAAGTGATTCTGCAATGGGAAGGTTTTTGCTTTTCAAGGTGAAACATGGTTTTTTTGACCTAGAAGTCCCAGGGTGTGGGAAATCCTGGCAACTGAAGAGATAGAAGGTCAGATGAGCTGGCAGGAAACTTTGTTTTGGTTTCCACTGAAATAATTTTTTTCCATGGAATATTTGTTTCAGTAAACTGATATCTGATGGGAGTGCATTCCATTGGGAAGTTCCTGGCCACTTCCAGACTTTTTCTGTATATAGTGAATTTGGTTTTATAAACATAACTAACATAAATGCCATACCTGGTCAGACTAATGGTGCATTTAGACCAGTATCCTGTCTTCAACAGTGACAGGAGTGGATGCTTTAGAGGGAGAGTGTTGAAGTGGGTTTATTTGGAGTGATTAATCCCCTATTCATTACCCTCCCTGGGTAGTCCAACTGATTTATAGTCAAACTGATTATCATATCTTTCACATGTAACGGTGCATTTTTATTTATTTTAGTTTTTGATAGAATTCAAGAATTCCCTTATATCTTCTGTACCTTCTGATTGGGTTAAGGTTAGCAGGTATGTAAAATATTTTAGTTTTATTTTGTTCTGTTTTACTGCATAGTCGAGTTTGGGCAAATTTGCATATTTGGACAAAAAACTGTATTTGCAATCAAGAAATGTCATGTGTTTTCGCTTGTTGCCCAGCTTTTAAACAACAACAAAAGAAGTGGCAGCAAACATTTTACTGTTATATAATTTGTAAAATATTGGAAAGCTGAGTTCCTCAAAGATACAGTTAAGTAGATAGACACTTAACTACAGTATTGTGCTTTCTAAGCTTGCCAGAAACATCCAACATATAATTTTTTTGTCCAGATTATTTTCTTGATTTGTTTACATTCCGTTTGAGTGTGTTTACACACACATATGTTCAAATAACCCTTTTCAACACACACATGTTCAAATAACCCCCTTTGTTGGCTCTTATCATATTTACTCAGGACTATTAGCTTTGTCATATAAGGATGTATATTTGCATATCTAGATAAAGTCATTGTTATGAAAGTAATATATTATTTTACTTCATGCATGCAAGCTTTGCTTGCTTTCATGATTAGTATGATATTTTAGGATATTTTTCCCCAGTAGATTAAACAGAGATGGAGTAGATTATCTATTTGGTGTTTTTCCTTCTTTTACTTTAGATTTATTTTGTTAAAATAGTCTGTTAAGCATCTTAAAAATGAAAAATGGCCTCCCTAATGTATGATTACAAATTCACAGAAATTGCAAAGGGACTGCTATTCTTAATTATTACCTACCAGTAATAGATACAGTATACATATACTCTATATGCTGCTTGGTTATTGGTTTGCTGAAGAGTAGTGATAAGAAAAGTGTATGCAGTAGCCCCTATCTTATTGCTAATGCACATCTTAAAAGCTATAGATTAATGTCTAAACAAACAAACAAAAAATCTCATGTGACCCCAAATCAAACCAGTATCCCTGCAAGACCCAGCCTATATTTCCAAACTTGGCTCAGCCTACAAACAAGTATTTCCCTTTAAGGTTATCTTGGTAAAATTAGTTGTTGTGATTTTGATATTTGTACAATCACTGTTAGAGAAAAAATTCACCCATTTGTGCCTTTTTAATGGAAAATAGCCCCTCTGTTGCTAAGCAGGATATTGCAAGCCATGGTCTTTGGTCATGTATGTAACATTTATAAAATATATTTTGAAAGCTTCGTGCATTGACTGCACCATAGCAACCAAGAACTTTTTTTCAAAATAAAGATTATCGGAATCAATAGAGCTTAGTACTCTGATTTAAAAAAAAAAAAAAATCCTGTTTCGCATCTATTTTCAAGGTTCAGAGAGAACAAGAAAACTAGTCTAATTTTCCATGTTGATGGCATAATTGATTGCTTAGTAACCTTGATTTCCTATTTGGCTTTTTTTCTCTCTTCCAGCACAAAAGCTGTCAGCCGTTTCCACACTCCTTTTATTATAGAAAATTACAGACATCTGAATCAGCTCCGGGAGCAGCTAGTCCTTGACTGCAGTGCTGAATGGCTAATTTTTTTAGAGTAAGTTTAGAATGAAAAGCAAAACCGGTGATTTTTTTTCTATGAAAATATATGAAAAAGAAAATGGTTGTCCAGGAGGAAAGAAGGAATTGCTGATTAGATTTCTTATCATTTGACTTGGTTAAGTGACTTTTTAAACTAATCTGTTGTCCCCTGATGTTAAAGCAGGAAAAAGAGAAAATGTTGTTATAAAAACTGAAGACTTAATAAAACCTAAGACCAACAAGGATATTCCTAAGTATTGTGGAATTCCATTGAAAGAAGTTGTTAAAATACCTCTCCAAATCTAAATGTTCATAATTGAAAACCTGAAGGTGAATCGGTTATTAACAAAAATGAAAAACTAACTTCAGGGATTATACTGTTCAAGATCAAAGTAAATAAAAAGAAAAAAATGAAGATAATCCATTGCAATAAGACATTTTTTTCCTTTTTCAATTTTAAAGTTTAATTATCAGGAGAGGTAAAGAAATATGCTTATAATATAGAATCTTTAAGTTGAATATAAATATAATCTATTGCAATACTGCCTGAGTTCATCCATAGCTTTTATTACTGAAGATAAAGGCAAAATATAATATTTTATACGGTGAATGTTCAGGATATCCACAGCCAGCGTCTCTGACTGGTCATATTCTCTGTAAGCAGCAAGGTATATTTGGTCATAATTTATTGGACTAATGTTATAGTTGGGAAAGAAATTAGACAAGTTTTTAGATACAACATGCCCTTCCTCAGGTCTTAGAGAGAAGCAGATACAGCTAAGCTAAATACCACATAAAATAATGTCTTTTTTAGCTTTGTTATTTAAATGAAAATATCTTGTTCAAGTTGATCCCTTTCAGATTAGGTTAGATGCTAGCTGTATTGTGTATTTCGACTTACATGTATTAACCTAAGGATTGTAGATAGCATGTCCTGTGGCAAAGAAGATATATTTCTTGCATGAGTTCAGGAAGTGCCGTATTTATTCAAATCAAGGTAAGAGGTTTTTCTTTCCCCGTAATCAGCATGTGGTGCGGGGGAAAAAGCCTCATCTTGGATTAGAGTTCCTGCCCAGGGCAAGGTACTAGTTCAACACTGGCTTTGGCCTGGGCTTGCAGCTGAAGCCAGAGCTGAACTACCATCTCCCCTGGGCTGGAATGGCTCATCTGATGCAGGAGGGGACATACAGTTGTGGGGAGGGGGAAACCTGCTGTCTGGCCTCTCACCCCTTGCCGCCTGTGCCTGCCCCCTGCCACCATCTAGCTGCCCTTCCCCCATTACCTTCTGCTGTGGCTTTGGTTCCTCCAGTCCTGACCTGGACAGGCTGGGGGCAAGGAGCAGATCCGCAGCAGAAGGTAAGGAGAGGGGAGAGCAGTGTAACAAACTCCAGATGGTAATTTAGTGGGGAGGGTGCAGGCTGCATGGGGGGAACAGGTGATAGGGGAGGCAGCAAGTGGGTTTCAGACACGGGCACAGGGGGTAAGTGGTGGGGGGCCAGCACAGGCATGGAGGGGCATGTGACCCCGAGGCACATGGCAGGGAACAGGCACAGGCATGGAGTGGGCAAGGGGCATGGGAGCCAGGGGTCTGACCCTTTACACCCTGCTGCCTTCTCTGCAACAGCAGTGATGGGGACTTTTCTAAGATGGCTTTCCAATTTTATGCCATTTTCTTTTAAAATGATAAATTTATAATTTTCCATATATAGAATCTAATTATCGGGGGTCATCTTAATTTCAAAGTTATCTTGAATTTGGGTAAATATGATAGATGTCACTATGTAGTTTGGCTTGGTTTTTCTTCAAGTTGTGGTAGGGTCAGAGAATTGTAGCTGTGATTATCCCAGGAACTATGTGAGAAGAAGTAACACGGCTATGCAGGAGGACGTCAAGAACAGAAAAAAACATCATGCTCACCTAACTTTCTCCTAAAGTTGGGGTAAATATGATAGATATCACTATGTAGTTTGGCTGGATGTAGTAAGCTATCCAGACTGAACAGGATATTTTCATTTACATAATGGAGTTGAAGAAAAGTCATTGTTTTATCTGGATTCAGTTTAGGTTGTATCTGCTTCTTTCCCAGACCTGAGGAAGGACACTTTGTCTGAAACTGTCTAACATCTCTCCCGAATTATCCAGTGGGTTCAATAAAAGTTATTATGAAACAAACCTTGCTTCTCTCATATTCCTTGGACTGTCATGGCTACAACAACTTAGTTTACCCTATTACAAATTCTCTGTAGGCATACATCTTAGGTGTTAACCTCAGTACCAACTTTGACTGCATCCATTAGAAGATGATATTAGTAATTTTGTATTAGATTAGAATTTAAATATGAACCTGTTCTTCAGCTTTCTTTTCTTATGTACAAACTGAAAAGAATCCAGTTCCCTTCTATATAATTGTGTTGGCTTTACATGAGTAACAAGAGTTGAAAATTAAAATTGTCTCTAAAATATAGACAAGATTTTGAATTAGATTTTTTTTTAATGTTCCCTTGTCTGGATCTACAGTTTGTCATGTTTACTATTAGTCTTCCTTTTCTTCTGCCCTTTTTAATCCATTGTTTGTTTGTTTATTTTAGTTCTTTTCTCTCACTTCCATTTTGGCAGATTTCCTACTTGTACTGCTAAAGCAGTTTAGAGGTGGGAAATTAAGAGTTCTGCTACTGTTGATCCTTTTCCCCTTTTTTTTTTTTTGCAATCTGCTTTCTTAGCATACTTTGCATTTCCCTTATGTTTCACATTTTAAGAATGTGAAACATTCTTAAAATGTGAAATGTAGATACCTTTAACTTTTCCTTAGAACAGAAGAGGGTGATGGGGAATAATTAAGGCTAAGGGATTGAGTCTACTGAAAACTTTTATCTAATGCCTCTCATAATTTCACCCCTGTATTGAGGGAACAAACTCACATTGGGAAATGAAACCTTGAACCTTCTAGTATGAATAGATCCTGAAGATCTCTTGTATTAAGGCATTTTTTTGTATTTTTCTATACTATATAACTCTTTATAGTCAAAGTGAATGATAGTCAGGGTTCAGGCTTCACTGTGTAATAAATCAAAGTATTTTGTCAAGCTCATTAGGCAGCAACTGCAGACCCTTTATGTAAAGGATAATTAATTTAATTTTGCCTGCTTTTTAACTCTTAGAAAGAATATGTGGTTATGCTGAGTATGAAGTTCACCTTGATAAAGATTGAGTTCTTACATTATGAATTTAACACACTGCTGTGAATTTGAATTCACTGCAATTTAAACACCATAAGAGCCTTGTGAGAGACAAATATGACCTTTTGAGCAATACCTGTGCATCCATAGGAAATATTTTTTTCATATTTTTCTTTCATTTTTTCCATATATCTGTACAGTTCTTTTAGTGAGCATTATCACTCCATGGCTAAAGCGGTTGATCACCTGGCAGCTGTTGACTGCATTTTCTCATTGGCTAAGATGGCCAAACAAGGAGACTATTGCAGGTAATCAAATTTTATTGTATTAAAAGGAAGACTATTAAAAAAGTTTTGACCAAACTAACTTAGGACATTTTTGTGTTTTTGTGTTTACAAAAATTGATAAATGCGTAAATCCAAACATGAAGAGTTTAGAATCTAAATTTGACAATACAGAGACCAAACCAAATTCCTCATAAGATTTGTGTCTAGCAAATAACTACCTTTTACATATATACCATACAATTCTGCATGGATTTCAGTGGAAGTCAATATGTAAATAATATGACACTTGTAACTTTCTTTTTCAGTAAGCCCCATTCATTTGTAAGTGGTAAGGCCTTAATTCTGCAAAAACATAGTTCTTATGTCTCAAAATTCAGTGGTATTTCAGTCAAGATTATTTGACAAGTCACTGATGAGATCTCTGGAAAACTGTACACTTCTGGTCACCCATGTTCCAGAAAGAAGAATTCAAGTTTGAATAGGTGCAAAGAAGGATGGAATGATCTTGGAATGGAGACTGACTAAAAATAACTTGGTTTGTATAGTGTAGCAAAATAAAGGCTGAGAAAGGAATATGATTGCTCTCTATGACTTCCTCATGGGAGTAAAAACCAGGGAGGGTAAAGAGAGATTTAAGGTAAAGGACATTGCTGGTACAAGAATAGATGGCATGCATTAATTAAGAATAAATTTTGTTTGTAAATTAGGAGGAAGCTTTAAAAATTAAGTGGAGTTAAGTTCTGGAATAGCCTTCTAAAAGGAGTAAGCCAAAATGATTGATCGAATCGATCAATCAATTGAATCTATGTATCTACTTTTAAGATGGAGCTTGATTTGGTTTATCGAAAGGATGAAAATGATGTGGTTGCTTGCAGATGATGCTTGATGACTTATTAGGTCTTCTAAGTTCTATGTTTCTATGTTCCATTGTCTTCAAATGGATCACATTTAGTGTATAAAGTTGAACACGTGTAAAACTATGTGGGATTCAAATCTAAATTTGACATTTGTGGGGAGCAAGACATGAAATGTCCAAAATGCTGACATTTTTCAGTCAGTTTTTATAACAATGCTCACCTAACTTACTAGACACCTTTAATAAGGAGAGAGAGTGACAAGGAAAACATTTTTGTTGATCTGTTTTTAAAAGATGACTTTTATTATATTGAAAGAGATGCAGTTAGACATGGTAGCCTGAAGCCAGGAAGAAGACAAGGTCAGGGTGACTGTCAGATGCTATGAAGTAGGCTGTCACTGACAAAAGCTTATGCGTTTCTGAATGAGTTAGTCACTAAGAGTGCGTGTAGACATGAGGGGACTCTGTAATTACAGCGTGTCGGAGCAGACTCAATTAATCAAGTCTGCTGGAGTGTGCTAATTAGAACTCTCCAACAGCTTCCGCATCTTGTGTATTTAGTATCCCCGTGCTTCAAAATGGTGGTGGGAGCACTTTAACAAAAGCTTGTCGAATGAGCTTTAGTTAGCACCCCTGCTGCCATTTTGAAGCACGAGATGCTGAATGCACAAGATGCTGTGGGCAGTTCACAGTGACTCTAATTAAACTGTCCTTCCCCCCCACCCCAGGTGCACTTGTAAAGAGTCCCTAATGTGCCACCCTGTCCTGCCTTCTTACTATATTCAGAAAACTCTTATTTAGTACTTAAACATCTACAAAAACAATACAACATTTGTCAATGTTCCTTTTGATATCTGTTTTCCACATATTAATCCTAATGTCTGGTACCACCCAAATTTTCTCATACATTTCTGGCTTATTGTTTTGTATATTCAAGTAAAACCTTTCCCCCAAATGCCTTTTCAGTAAGACATGTAACTGTATGGCATGTAAATGCCTTTACAGTAAGACATGTAAGGCAAGTAACACAATGCTTAATGGAATTTGTCCAAGAAAACAAATTAACTTAGCTTGTGTTGTCATGACAATTTGTTTTGATTTGTTAAATAATATAAACACATTCTAAAAATATGCTATTAATATTCTACCATAATATGTAATAGTATAGTTTACAAGGTTATGCTGAAAAAGGACCATTATTATTTCTGAGACATAAACCACCACACTTTCAGTAACCATTGGATATGGTAGCCTTCCTAAATATACTTCATATAATACAGAAATGTAATACATTATAGATAAATGGATAGATTATAAATTGGCTTTGCCTAGCAAATTATCAGGCAGTTTTTTTTCAAACAGTCATCCATCTCAATAGAACTAGAGTGCTTTGGAAATGTATCTAAATATATATTAAATTTATATTGTGCAAGTGAAGCCAGCCTATAAATATCCTTATACATTATACTTTTCTATGATGGTTGCTCACTGCACATGCAGTGTTACTTTTTCTTTTCCCCAGCAGAGATTCAAACTGCAGAAGCTTCTGTTAGCATATTTCACTGCTTAAAACATGCAGCCCAGTTTGCAACATTGATTTTTGGAAAAAGTGTGGTGTATGCAGGAAAATATGATACTGTGTATGACAGGGGGGTACATGGGAAGGCCCTAGGGCAAGGGTTCCCACCATCTATGTGCCCAAGGGCACATTTGAATTTAAAAGAAAAAGCAGCAGGAGCCGATACGAATATTAAAGTTTAGAATTTAGATCTATCTGATCATCTCATCCATTACTTAAAATTGCCTTAGATCCGCAACTTCAAAATGCAGCCTCCGTTTACTTTGTATTCTTTTGACGTTTTATCCATGGCGCCCACAGGCACCACGTTGGGAACCGCTGCCCTAGGGCATACGTATAGGTGGGCAGGGACAGAGCACTGCCACCCACCACCCCGCACTGCTGCCTCCCAGGAGCAGGGCCGAGTAGTAGGGCGGGGCAAGGGTAGCGTCGCCCCTCTGTGGAGCCTCCGCACAGGTGCTGCTCAGCTGGCCGGACACTAGGCGGGAGAGCTTGCACACAGCAGCAGCTGCCGTTCCTCTGTATTCAGCCATGCACCACCCTCCCCGCCCCGCTCCGCGTCCAGCTGCCAGGGGTACACTTATTAAAAAAGGTTGAAAACCCTGGTGTATGATATTGATCAGTTTTTGGCCCTTGGGAGACCTTGCTTATTTCTGTTTAGGTCTCCTTGACAGAAAATTCATAGAAGGTCCAACTTCCTGTTTTAATCAGGATCATATCTATCTAAAATGTCCCATACAAATGCTTTTCTAAATTATACTTAAAACTTCCAGTGATTTTGCAACTTCCCTAGGTACTGTCTTCCTCATCGTTGATCATCATCCTCATGGTTAGAGTGTTCTTCCTAATATTGTTATCTTATTCCTTAGAGCTTTTAAACTGACAGGTAGTAGGCTTATCAGTAAAACTACAGGCGGAAGCTTGACTGCAATTCTGTAACTTGTTACCCACTGGGAAGATGTCAATAATTGATTTTTGAGGGCTACTAAAAGAGAGATTGAAATTTGGGCCTTCCTATGAATTTACTTAATATGAGTTAGATTAATTTTTTCTCTTGTATCATAGACTGCTTAAATTTTAAGAAAATTATAGTGTTGATGAAAAATATTTTCTGTTTATGAATTTATACATTCCATTGTAGTATAATTTTTTAAAATCATCATACTTTGCTAACTGTTCCCATGATTTGTAATATTTATTTTTGTACTTGCTTTTCCTAAAGCAGTACATCATATTAACAGAGTTTAAATTTTAACCAAAACTTGAAAGTTCACTGTTAAGCTGTGAACATGTGTCCTGTAACTCTTTGTAAGAGTTGGAGTGCTGCTCAAATTTATTTTGGGGTTATTAATACTTCATTGGATGAATGTGAATGTCACCAAATACATGAATTTGCATATGTAGCAGCTTATTATATACATGGTCCTTGTTTTGTCCCATTCCTCATTTCCTTTCATTGGTCAGGACAGCCAGGGAGAGAAGAGAAACATGGAAAAATAGATGCGTGTCAGGCTATAATTTGATTAACATAGGGCACTGACAGGTGTGGAAAGAAAAAATGCTGTCTATGGAAGCAGCAGCACATTAGTTCAGCCTACAGCATCCGTATAGACCAGGTGCTTCAGCGGGGCTTTTTGGTACTTTTGCCTAAAGGTGATTCAATCGGCTATTGGGTAAAAGTGCAATTATTTGCTGTTGGTCCTGTTTGAGACCTTCGGTTACATATGTCCACTACATTAATAACATAGCTCAGTTTTACCATGGTCTCTGATTACAAGTTAGTGTGGTCACTACGGTTCTGTTACTTGTAGTTACATATTCTTTGCCGTTTTGTTTGTTTCTCAAGACTCCCCATCTCGACTCTGTGACAGGCTGATCTATTCATCAGATGAAGTATTGTGAAAAGTAATCGTAGGAAGAAGAAAAAATAATATGCATCTGCAAATTAGTGAGCATACCAGAGGCAATGGAGGATCAAAAATAAAAAAGTTCTCCTTGCTTTGGGACCTACCTTGTTTATAAGTCCTCTTAATATCTATAGAGAGCATATTATAGCCTAAGGAGTTTCCAAAGCCCAAGAAAAAGAAAGGACTCATATGAGTTTATAACAAATGTTGACTTTGTTTATGTCTGAAATATTTTGGATGAGATTTTAACATGGACATCTAAAGAGATTATGAATTCATTTTTCATCTCTTTCATGGGGGGGGTGCACGTGCGCATGCTTGTATACACACATATATATATGTGTGTGTGTGTGTATATGTATGTATGTATATATGTGTGTGTGTGTGTGTGTATGTATGTATATATATATATAGCTGTATGCTGTTTAGAATTCCTTCCTTAAGATTTTATCATGATATGCCCCAATAATTAAATGTAATAAATATTGTATTGACATCTCCTTTTTTGTGCAGACCCATTGTACAAGATAAACGGAGAGAAATAATTATAAAAAATGGCAGACACCCAGTGATTGATGTGCTACTGGGAGAACAAGATCAGTATGTTCCAAACAGCACCAACCTATCAGTAAGTACTGTATCATAATAAAGGGTTGAAAATCAGTCAAGGAAAAGATTCTCAAATTTAGATCCTGGTCCAGGAAATTGAGTAAGTAATTCCAGTTGGCTGCTTGCTTGCATTTCTGAAAGGATACAACTACAATTTATGACCAAATCTATGTTATCCCTTCATTGATATCAAGTAGCCTGTTGTCCATTTCTACAATATCATGCAGGCCTAGTGGGAAAGGAGGGAACCTCAGAATTATGATTTGAGTTGGGAAGAACTGCTATCTTAATTTACAGAAAGGCAATGCCACTGTTTGCAACTTACTTTAATGACATAAGTGCATTTAACTTTGAAAACTAGCAGCTACATCTATGCAGTGACTTTATTTTTAAAATCCCACCAAATATTTTCATTTTTTCCAGTCCTCTTGTGTCACTTTTCTTTCTGATTGATTTTACCTCTATTAAATTAGAAGCATTTTGTATTTTAAAATGTACCACACTAATTAATTCCACAATAGAAGCTTAGCATTCTGATTATTGTCCACCCAATAGGGCTATAAAATAATTCTTCCAGATAACACATTAGTTATAATAGAATATTTGTATTTGCATATACCTTATGCAGGAAGCATTAGCACACTAATTACTACTCAACTTTTTTATTAATATACAACACATTAGTCTGTACTTTCTCATTTTATACCATTATTTCTGATAACGATATATCTTACAGTTAAAAAAAAATTACTATTGCTACTAAATTCTTCTGGAGAATTTAAATTGTTTTTGTATTATAATCTCTTTTAAAAGATTTGTCAGCAATTTTTCCTGGAACATTCCTGGAACATTCCTTTTAAAGGTTGTTTTTTTTAATATTAAATTCATGCTTTGTACAAATAGAAAAATATAGTTCAATCTACTTCTGAACATAAGTTGCCTTTACATACTTTATATTTTCAGGCTTATTGAAATGTTGATATGGAGCTGTTGCTATTATAAGGCATATTTTACTTTGTTTTGCTTAGATTTCTATATGAATGGCTTTCAAAAGTTATTATATTTTGATGAAAAAGTAACATTAAAAATATTACTATGCAACTCAAAACTAGCAGCAGGTGGCATTTTCAAAAATCTGGCAATTCATTCAATAATGATCATGCATTTTGTGTCTTAGCCACATTATAATGTTACAGTTTTTCAATTAAAAAATTACGAAAGAAAATTATATTGGTAGTGTGACGGCTTTAGGTGTTGTAGGGCTTGCTGCCACTGCCCTGAGCTCGTTTTCCTAGAGGCAGTGACAGGGTGGACCTTGGCTTTGGATCACCTGGTCAGCCAGGAAGTTAGTCTTATGTTTTCTTGTCTGCCATGACTTTGGTGATATTATATTGCTAGGAGGCAATGCCCAAGGTGATCCTACCTGGTCTCAATCCCTGTTTTCTTCTGTGGGGCTCCAAACCTCCCCTTTACCCCATCCTAGCCTCTCCAGATGGCACTCGTAGTTCTCTGCAGCCAGGTCTTAATACTGCCTGTTGGTCTATTATTCCGCCCTCAGCCACCAGGGTGACCATTGGCTTTGCTTAAGTGCATACCCTTCAAGGGTGGCCTTGGCCTGTGCTAAATATCCAAAGGAAAAAAAAAAGCAAAAACCTGACTGCTCTCAGTCTCTTTGCCAGACTCAGTCCATGCCCCTTCACCTGGGTTTCTCTGTGGTTTTCTCCATTTTTCTGTGGGAAATGGAAAACCTGGATCCCTGGTGATGAGAGGAGTGAGGAATTGCCCCTCCCTCCATTCATTGGGCATAAGTCGGGGTGACTGGCTATTAGCTGTAAATAATTGATTAGGGATTTAATACCCTGAGTATTTAACATAGTGCCGAAGTTATTAGCTTTGTATTTCTTGATTTGAGCATCCTTTAGGTGTAAATAACTATCAGCTGTTATTCTTATATAGACTCATCCTTGTGCATTGTAAATAGAGAGTTTCAAACTTTTGATATTATTTACTGTTTGTATGAATGTAGCCACTATACCCTGTATATAATTAAACTTTGTAAATAGTTAATTATGAGTCTGCAAGGTCTTTCCATTGTAAAGGGAGCCTCTCTCCTCAGGGAGCCTCTGGTCACTCCTAGGACAGCTGAGCAGGGGGTAAAGCTACCTGGCACCCCAGGTCCCGAACAATTGGACATGGCTGTGGTTAACACTGCACACCAAAGGTTACATAAGGTTTTATAATTCCCCCCTCCCCCTGTGGCTGGGCTGGGGCAGCACAAGTCACTGACGCACCGGGGGGGAGGGAGAAAGGAGTCTCCCCTCCCAGGACCTGTCCCCAAGTCCTGGTCCGCCTAGCTGTGGGGGGAGAGAGGGGTTTGAGTTGGGGTCTTCCCAGCTGGTGAGGGCTGGGCCCCATGGGGGTTTCCCCTCTCCTCACTTGGCTGGGTCAACTCCATAGAAAGAGACTCTGTGGCAACTCACCGTGTCCAGCCAGGTGCTGCTGGTACCAGACTCTGCAGGGACATACCAAGAGGTGGCAAAGACAGGAGCGCTCCATACAGGGAAGGATTGGGCTCCGCTGCCTGGCACAATCCTCCCAAGCCACATAGCTTGGATTGAATCTTTGAAAACTCTTGGCGCTCTGGTCTAGTGCCCGAAGACTGGAAGAAGGCCAATGTGGTGCCTATCTTCAAGAAAGGGAGGAAAGTGGATCCGGCTAACTAGGCCCATGAGCCTGACTTCTATCCCGGGGAAGATCTTAGAAAAGTTTATTAAAGAGGCCATCCTTAATGGACTGGCCAACGTCAACATCTTAAGGGATAGCCAGCACGGGTTTGTTGCGGGTAGGTCTTGCTTGACCAATCTCATTTCCTTCTACGACCAGGTGACCTATCACCTGGACAAGGGAGAAGAGATTGATGTCATATATCTGGACTTCAAAAAAGCCTTCGATCTGGTTTCCCATGATCACCTCTTGGAGAAACTGGCCAATTG